TTACATTTTTTAATATTTAATTTCTTAAAAAATATCTTATATTTTTTAACAAATGAAGTATAATATATTTATTTTGTTATTAATATGTTCTACATGAAGCATTGCGCCAAAAAAAAAAACACAGAAGATCCAAATTTCTTTGAGAGGCAAGATAGAGATAAATTGCACTAGATAGCAAGAGTAAAGGATCATTTGGATACGGGCAATATTTTCCTTTAATTATGTAAGTATATAACCAAAAAAAAAAAATATTTTCCTTGACAAGGGCAGCAACGGTGAGAATGTGAGAAAACTTTTTTTTTAAAAAAAGAAAATTGATAAATTTACAAACAAAATAAAGCTCTAAGTTTATTTTACTGGATTCAAATTAAAGATAAACATTATTCATATTTGAGATATACAAGAGTCAAAAACAAGGAAAGACAAGGGAGAAAAAAAAGATAATTAACGTAACACCCCAGGGGGATTTCCTCTCTCAGACACGAAAAGAAAGAAAGAAGGTAATTCTATAGTATTATTACAGCAGAAGCCAAATCTCAGACCTAGACATATGGAGATTGATAATACCACAAGAAACAATTGATGATACCATCAACGAAACTGCATATATGGACATTTTTAAGCCGTCATGCGCATGACTAAGAAGCATCATTTTCATGGCACTGAAGCATCTCAACAACTTGGCTCATGGTGGGCCTCGCATCTTTGTCATCCTCCACGCAATTCAAAGCCACACTTGCCAGAGTTTCCATCTTCATCTTCTTAACCTCAAACTGTGATCCAATGGCTGGATCAATTATTTTCTCCACCCAACACGACGATGTCAACGACGACCCTTCCTCCAACGACGTCGTTCTCTTCCTCTTCTCTCTCACCCACGTCACAAGCCTCCCATTCTGTGCCTCTTCTCCTTCATCACTCCGACTTCCATCGTTGTCGCACTCCTTCCTGTTAACATCTCCAACACAACAATTCCATAGCTGTAAACATCCACCTTTGACGTTATTGGCAGATTGAAAACCCATTCCGGTGCCATGTAACCTCTCGTTCCTCTTATCATTGAGATGCTTTGAGCGTTCTGTTCATTTCGATTCAGAAGCTTAGATAATCCAAAATCTGCTACCTTGGGTTGATAGTTTGAAACTAGAAGGATATTCTGAGGCTTTATGTCACAATGCAGAATCCACTCCAAGCATTCTTCGTGTAGGTATGCTAGTACTCTTGCTGTTCCCAGAGCGATATTGTATCTTTTGGTCCAACCCAGAGTGTTTGATTTGAGATTTTCTGCTAAAGAACCATTTTCCATGAACTCATACACCAATAGTCTATGCTTTCCCTCAGCACAATACCCCCACATTTCAATCAGGTTCATGTGATTAAGCTTACCGATTATGCTCACTTCTGCTAGAAATTCAGCTTCATCTCGTTTGGCTCCAATGTTGTCATTATTCAGCTTCTTTATTGCAGCGATTCGCTGATCAGGCAATACTCCTTTGTACACTATTCCACCTGCTCCTCTTCCGATTTCTTCTGTGAATCCTTTCGTTGCTTGTTTTAGTTCAGAGTAAGTATATTTTCTGAACCCAAAAGGAGAGAGAAAATTGTACCCTTGTTGATTGACATCTGATTTTTGTTTGGTTCTCATCAAAGAGCACGAAGTTATAGAGATGAAGAGGGCTTCAAACACCCCAAGTGCAATGGAAAACCAAAGAAAGAACTTCACAAAACTGCTGACATGTCTCTTGGTATAGGCTCTTTCCAGCTTTACTGAACAGACACGACCATTTTCTTGAGCAGATTCTTCATCCGCAAAGAACGAACCATTATTTCTTCTGGTTTTAGGCAGTCTCAAGTAGGTTGTTCCTCTGAAGTTTGGTGATCGACGACCATTGAGCAGAACTTTTTTCGTATAGCATTGAAATAAGCCATCATTGTTAAAAGAGTACTGAAATGCCCTGCACTCACAGTCTTGTGAGCATTCATTCTCACAATCACTAAAACTGATATTTTCTTATAAATATAGTCATACCCATATAGCTCAACATCAGGCATTTGAAGAAGGTGGCTCATTTCTATCGCATGAGAGCTGAAATTAGGTTCACCACCCATAAGACAATCGCTATGGTTCTTCACTCTATATCCCGGAAGACATGAGCACTTTCTTCTTTCCCTTGGATCGTGCGTGCACGTGCTGTTAGCACCACAAAGTCCATGCACCAATACAAGGACTAGATATGGCTTGCCACGACACATTACCCATGGATCATTCTGATGTTGTCGGCTGTACACGCGAATGTTACCATCAGGATCCATCTTCAATCTCTTTGAATCACAACCCCATAATCCGAAGTTATGAATCCGAAATTAGTTGTTGAGTTTGAAAGTTCGATAGAATCTATCACTGCGATTCTACTACTGTTATAGGTGGTCCTTCCTGCTTCCCAACTCAGAAGCC